CCACACACACACACACACATACACATACCCTTGTATATGCCACGTGATGCCACGCTGCAATTGGACATTGGGTGTCAAGTGGGGCTGTCATGATAGGTCGATGCATCGATACTACTATCGATGATTGGGAGAATCGATAGTTTTTTCGACCATCGCGATGTATGCGCTAAATGTTTAATGGAAAATGTCCCATTGAATTGAGACGAGTACAGTACAATACAGTTCGGGCGAGGGAAAGGAAGAGGCGGCGTGACCCGCACGGGCGAGCAATTTCTCATCACGATAAATTTCTTGAAATGCTGGACTTAAAATATGAAAGAAGGAAGGAAAAAAAAATTGAAATCGGAGACAGGAAGTGGGAGAAGGAGAGGGAGGGAACACTGAGAATATTTTTTTCCCTCCTGTTTCGGTCTTCGGCTCGAAATAAATGAGGTGTGAAAGTGGACTGTTCGTATTCTCCCTTGATTTCGAAACGTACATCGGTTAATCCCCTCTCACAGTGGCGTAACTACCGAATGTGCAGGCGGTGCGACTGCACTGGGGCCCACGGACCAGAGAGGCCCAGACGCCGAGCTACGAAGAAGGAGGGGGGGGGGTGTTAGTTGGGAGCCCATTGGCATCGGGACGAGGTGAGCGCCAGCAGCCGAATAGGAAGGTCAAAAGGAACCAAAGGAGTTTAACGCGACACTGCACAGACATCTCGCAACTGGGACGCCGCTTCGTGTGGTTAAAGGAAGTGGTGGCCACTTCCAATACACCTAGGGTCGGATTAAAGGGGGGGAGGGGGGAGCAAAGGGGGCTGTTGCCCCGGGCCCCACTTTTCCAGGGGGCCCTTGAAGGAAATTAAACACTTTAAGCATTTGCGTAAAGAGCAGGGGAAGGTGGGGGAGGGGACCAAGAATCCACTTGTCCCTCGCCTCACAACATCTTGATTCACCCTTTCACTGGTGGCGGATCCAGGAGAGGAGGAGGGGGAGGACTGCCCCTCCTCTGGCCAAGTTCGCAGTCTGTTTTATTATTATTTAGAAAGTACATAAATTAATGTTTATTAGCTCCTGTAAAATAGATATTCAGGGTTTTTACTCCAGACGAAAAATGAATAAGGTGATAAGACAGAGGGTGATGGTAGATGAGGGGGGGGGAAGCAAGGTACAATGGAAGACGCTCTAGCTCTCAGGTAAGGACGTAAGGATAGGCACAATGATAAGCTGTGATGGAGCCATCTTTAGTCCATGCTGAGGGTCCCGTTCCTCCTACTTTGCATTGAGATGCCAGTGTGGTCGGTCTCTAACTCCTCGAACAGGAACAGAAATGGGCCCCATTTGTTCAAGTTTCCCGTAGATTCGAAAAAGACGTGATCGGCGAGTCGCTACTAGCTGCTGTCAGATTTAATTCTTGTATAAAACAGTCTGCTGTTCAAGAAACCCTTTGTTTCCGTAGCAACATCAATATTATTTTCCATTCTTTAATGCAGCCAAATTAGGGAAGAGAGATTCCTTCAAGCTGAAATCAAGATGAAAAAAGCTGTACTCTCGAGGGGATTGAGGGGAAATTCACATGGAGCAAGGATATGCGATGAGTTGTGACTAAATTTAAGGGAATGTCACATTAACAGTTGGATTTTATGGCCCCTTCTCTCATCCAATTAAATTGATGATGGAACTGCCATCTGCAGTACTAGGCTAGGCACAGATCTGCCACTCCATCAGTTACTTTCTGGTAGGCCCTTATGAGAGTGGCAGATGAATCAGCCTGACCTGAAATCTGATCAACCCACTACTGGTGGAGCATGAAAAGAGCATTGATATAAGGCAGAAGGAAAAGTCATGTCCGACCGTAATTCACGTTTTCATGAAAATCAACGCATTTTGAGATGAAAGAGGGGAGGTCCCGATCAGGAAAGGCGATAGGCCTATTTTTCGAGTTTTCCAGCTCTTTGCTACAAGAAAAATGTTTGCATTCGTGGCTGTAGGGAGGGAGAGAATGGGAAGGCAGGCCGGGCTTGGACTAAACATGGCGTCTATTTGAGCTGTCGTCACTACCTGATGCTTCGCATCTATATACCTTGGGGGGAAGACTGGGAACTAGGAAACAGGTCCTGTTTCCCTATGAAAAATCTCTGTATCCGCCACTACCTTCCACACTGACTTCAGCTACCGATGACGATTTATATGCTGCCGGAGAAAATCTAGCAAATAAAGTATGACTCCCACATAATTCAATAGTAAGAAATTGGAGTGGGCCCCGTTTCATTCCTTGCACCAGGGCCCATGCCAACCACGCTACGCCACTGCCCTCTCTATATTCCTGCCTTTTTCTTTAGTATGGAGCCTTAAGTTTTTAATTTTACCTCTTTACTTAAGGTGAACCCAAAGTGAATTATTTATTCGGGCGTTTCATTTATTCAGGATGTTTCGGCAACCGCCGGTATGGCACCATCGAGAGGTTTCCTATCTGCCGGTGCCAATGACCAAAGAACACCGTGTAAAACGAAGAAAAAGAAAAATAAACAATGTGAAAGGGCTTGGCAACTGCCTCTCAATGGCAATAAGAAAAAATTGTGACTTTCCTCATGCATCCATCGATGAATGGATGTCATTCAGGGCCGTTTCTAGGGGCGGGCTATCTTCTGGGGCGCTTGTGGGAGGAAGGGGAGGGGGGGGGGGGAGGGCGCCGCACTAAGAAACACAATAATAATCACAAGTATTTTTTATATGGTTAGTGTGGAAGAAAATGCCTTGACTTGGCTTTCATTATTTACAAATGTAACAAGATGATTTCCATCAGTTTCGGCTCCCTGTCAGCTTCCCGGTGCAAGGCCCTAATCGCCAGAGTTGCGGTGGTGCTTCGCGTCGCAATTGTTGGTTTGGTGGGGAGGGGGGGGGGGAATTGGTACTCCTTGCTCTGGGCGCCAATATGCCTAGAAACGGCTTTGTCTTTGCTGTACGTCAGCTCACGACTGACCGATCGACGTGAAGTGGCTCTCTGATGTGGGAGCGCGACATCTATCTTCCGAAATAGGAACTATGGTTGAACATCTGCCACCGAATCGGATGATGGATAGAGTTAACATGCGCAATGTTGAATAAGAAGTCTAGGTTCGCAACGATTTTCCATCATTTCGGATGATGAGAAGAACCGGTAGAATTTCTCGAATTCAGCACGATTTCCTGATTAGAACCCCTCGATGCCATGGGCTATTCGTACCATGAGCGGGTGCCGATGTTAGAGGTCTTTGGAACGAATCAAAGAAGCGATTGAACAAAAAAAAAACATTTCTGGCAAAGGTCTATCTCCGTGATGGACCTCTTCACGTGTGGAACATCATAGGCATGTTACGGGCACACGACTCCCGAAGATTGTCGATGTTTGTATATGGCGAATATAGCCCTAATTGAAGACTAATGAAAGAAATTTGTAGTGCGTCAGCAGTACGTGACGGGGAATGTGAGTTGATGTTACGGGCAGATGCTAAGATAGGTCCATGTTGCCATATCTTTTGTTTATATGCTAGCATGTTCCCCATGCTAGTATATCGGCAAAAAGTTCCAAAATTATGGATTCAACTTCCTTTTGCACTCCTTCGACGAACAATTCAGAATGAGAAACGCTTACCTAGGCTTTACCAGAAAAACTTAACATTGTATAAATTAAAAAAAAGAGCTTGTCACACCCAAGACCAGCAGTGAACCTCTATTGTTGTCTTGCCATGGATGATATTATGATAAAATTTCAAGTATCAAGAAGAAAACTGGAAGAAGACGTACGAACAATTCTACATTCGAGGGTGAGTGGAATTGAGGCAAGGTTCTTCTCTCTCAGATTTTCCTATTTGCAAATTAATTTTATTACGATTTATTATACGTTGAAATGGATCAAGAACTATACGGATGTCATCTGTGAGGTATGGTTTTAAAAAAATTCGGTGAAGTTCGATGTCATAGGCTCGCTAAAAAAAAAACACATAGAAGTTTGAATAGAGCGCGGGAATTGACACTCGTCCTGCATTCCCGATTCTCACTGCGACTCGCATTGTCAAGGTGCGCTGTGCCAAATCTGACATGCTCCAAAAGTCCTCTAAGACTTTTACATGATCGAATTCTCAGCCCTTCAGGCACCAATTCAGAATGCTAAATGGAAATTGAGAAACGGAGAGAACATGACGAACGGATTTCAGCTAACAGCCCAGCGATTTAATTAGGGTTAGGGAGGGTTGCAGTAGGTAGGTCGTGGTGGCACCGAAGCTGAATTAAATATGAAGATGTGGATGCAACGCAATTCGAAGTGCTTTCGGGGAGATCAGGAGAGTCGAAATGCCTCCTTTTCATTAAAAAAATTTTGATGAAGTTACAATGAGACTCGAGTAGTACTTCCTTTTATACATACATTTATTGAAAATGCGATCTGTAGATCATTCAGATGCTCCTCCATCTATGAAAATATTTCCATTCTCAAATCGGAAAAACCGCGACCGCATTTCAATGCTCATAAGTATAAACGTTACATAGAAATAGAATTTGGTTGATCACATCAGTGGGTGGGATCAGCATGCAGGTTGACGAGAAATCTCACTTATCACAGCTACCCAATTAGCAACAGGACATCCCTGAGACATCCCATGGATGTCCCTCTGAAATGTTCTGCGCATGTGGATATCCCTGAAACATCCAGAGGATATCCCGGAAGGTGAGAGATACTGACGTCCTCCAAGCCGAATCCCTCATAAGTCCATGGCATGTCCGTTGTGAGACGTGGGACGTCAGAATCTATTAGGGACGTCCATGAGATGATCCCATGCTACTTGGGTAGGCCATCAATCTTTCGAACATGAGTGTGACGAAAGGCTTTCCTACGACATGATCTAAACCGGAAGCACATCCGACTGGATGAGATCGAAAATGGGATTCGTATGCGCCCAGCAAGCATTCTGTCATGCAACAGCGAAACAACATTGACAAGATCCTGAAATATGACGTAAGATGTACTGAGACAAAAGTCTCTTATTCACACCAGAGAAGGAAAACGACAAAGAGCATTTGGAACAGGCGCAGTCCTCGGCGATGTCTTTCTTCCACGCCCCTCTTTGATCGGTGTTGTAGTCGTCCAAGTAGATTTGGTGGGTCCAGATCCTTCAGGGCTTTCGGGATACAGCAGGGTTTTGGGGTGACCGTGTGCTTCTTGGCCTTCAGGTCCTGCTGGCAGATGAAACCTAGAACGATGGCGAGGTTGTTGGCCGGTCGGAATTGTAAGGGCCGTCGCTGCGATTTGTCTCAAACTCCAGAAGGGGTAATTAGGAAGTTCAGCCGGGGGCTGTTCTTGATGGACACTGTCATATTGGTCCGGTAGCAAATCGGTAGCAAATTGATCACCTCAATGCATGCTGACGAACGAGAAATCTCACATGGAGCATTCGAACTCGGGTGTGAAGGCCCGCTTACCTACCACGTAACCTGAAAGGGAAGAATATAACGATAGGATGGAATCGAAATCGGGATTCAAACGCGCCAAGCAAACATTCTGTCGACACCAGACAGCCAGACAACATTGAGTAGATTCTAAGATACGGAGTCAGATGTATAGAGACGTGAATCTCTCATTTGCACAAGACAAAGAAAGCAAGAAGAAGCATTAGGAGCAGGCGCAGTCCTCAACGATGACATTCTTCCAGGTCCCATTTCGGATGCCGTGGTGCTCGTCCATGTAAATGATGTCCAGGTCCCTGAGGGTCTGCGGGATGCAACAGGGCTTCGGGGTGATCGGGTGCTTGTTGACCTTCTGGTCCTCTTGGCGAACGAAGCTCTGAACGATGGCGTGGTTGTTGGCCGAGCGGAAATAGTTTGGGCAGCTTCCTTCGCAGCGATACGCCTCGAACTCCAGGGGGTGAAGGATAAAGTTCAGCTGGGGGAATTTCTTCATGAAAACGGTCATCTTGTTCCGGCAACACTTCAAGTGCTGTTGGTCGGTCGGACAGTCCACCTGTTCCTCCTCGTCTTGCTTCCATGACTTCGATCGCTCCTCGGAGACGAGAAGGACATGCATGGTCGAGCCTGACACTCGACAGCCGCGACATCTGATGTTGAAGACGATTCTCCTGCTTGCCATCTTCAGGTGTCGGGTCACGGGGACCGTGACGTCGAACCCCTGCACGTCGGCCCCGATCTGCTTGGTCTCCAGAAGTTCTTCAGAGGAATTTGTCAGGTAGTGGAGGTCCAAATATCCACGTTCCCCTTCATGCGATTCCACCTCCAGGTCCAGGCGAGCCAGACGAGCCAACCAAAGCGACAACTCCATCTCCTCTGTCTCCGCTTTTTCTTTCAGATCGAAGGTCAAAACGAGGCTCTCCTCGCTTCCAGAATTTCTCCTGGCTTCGCCTGGCAAGAGACAAACCACGTCTGATTCACGTCGGAAATGCTTTATTGTGATTTTCCCTCCCACTATTTTGCCTTCAGAAGACATAACTATCCCCGAAAATCCACGATTGTAACATCAGGAACCCTGCTCCAAATTGTTAGAGCATTTGATCTGATTTTTAGTTGGATCCTGGGAGTTATATTTTTTTCTGGAACCTATTTTTGGAAGCAAGTAAAAATAAATATCAAATATAGGGTGGTTAAAAAAGATGCTCTACCGTTTTCTATGGGAGAAACATAGTTTCAGAAATGCAGCAAAAAATGACATTGAATACGCAATCTATATTTGACAGTTACACGGTGCCGAAATGCTTGCCAGCTTTTTTCAGCACCCCTGCCTAAGTCTTGCCATGCCCATTTAGAGGTGAATTAAAGGTGCTTAGAGGTAGATCATTCCACCTCAAGTGGGGTGATGACCTGTGCTCGACCGTCTCAGAATTAAATTAATTTTTCAACTTTAACTTTTCAAGGGACAGTTAGATCCAGCTGATACTTGACAGAGAGGTTCATGAGTCTCAGAGGTTTTTTCACTTCCGCAATATGGCGCTAATCCTTGTATCACTTAGGTCGCTGTTGTTGACCGAGTGACCTAGGGTCATTACAAAAAAGCTCCATCGTTTTCAAAGGGGAGAAAGTATGATTCGTGTATTCGAGTAAAAAATGTAAGATTCATCTTGATATTGGGCATATACAAGGTGTTGAGAAGATTGTCTGGGTTTTTCTCAGAACAATTCTTGGAGCTGTGCATATGAGCATGAATCATACTGAAAATTCACGATGAAATTCATCACTGAAATCTTAGTTTCCGAGGACTTTATTTTCTCATTCTATTATTGTACCTTTGTCTTTCCGCATCGTTTCTGAACGAGGGGTAGGATTCGTTTCTCCCATCGGATGGATAGGTTGGAGCAAAATATGTAATGGGTGAATCTAGAGCTCCCCAGAATGCGTGAGAAAGGAGAAATGTTCTTGAATGGTGCAGTGAATAGGCGACATTACATTTGATGACACGAAATGACATTCCTACGATGTAATTTCTCAACACTACGTCTTTTTTCCAGATCGATTGATCTTAGAAGTCGGTAATGCTGCACTTGAGACCCCGTCGCTGCTGCACGTGACCAAGTGCGATGTTTAGAAGCCGTCTGCACGAGAAGTGGCCGTGCGAGACTTGTTAACGGTGCCGAGGCACTAGTACTTATCCTGAGAAACGGTCTCGTTTCTAGGAAACGAAGGGGTCTCGTCTGCGTAGAGATTTTCTGCTAAACGCTCCCAACCCGGTAGGAAATCCCTAATTGCTACTCGTAATGAGCGAATATTCCCAGTACAGTATGTGGGTGAAGAAGAACACTTCAGTTGTTTACCTCCTACACTACTAACTAGGGCTGTCAACCTTTTCAAAAATGCAATCTATTAGTCGCGAGCCATTTAATCGATTAATCGAACTTTAATCGATCCCTTAGTTCCTCCACAATCATGTTCTTGGCGTTGGGAATGATTCTGCTTGTATCATACCCAACACCTAGGCGAGCCTCAGGAAGTGACTTAAGGCGATGCAGTCGCTAACAGCAGTTACTATCCCTACATACACTAGTTAATCCTACAAGTGACACATTCCAGTCGGAAATAAAATAGTTACAACTTAGCCAGATAAATAATGAAACGTAAGCAAAGAAGCACATTGAGGCCCTTCGCCATTTAGCCAGCCCATAACAGACGGATGAAAAGTTGTAATCTAAATGATTGGACGTATACAGTGACACTTCATTACGCGGAGGTTTTAAGATTCATCAACGATTTCGGGGCAACACAGGATGGAAGAGCAAAAGTAGGAGCTAGCAAGGAATAGGAAAGGGTTTCCCATTTTCGTTTCCACTTCTCTCGCCTGCCCGCGGCTTTCCCCCTCTCTAGGTTACTTTCCGGGGGCGGGGCTCCCACAGACGTTCCCCAGTGCACTTACACGTACATCTCTCACTCCTCAGTCTTTAGATTATCCTCTTTCCTGCCTCTCGTGTCCCAAGCCCTTGCCCAACTCCCCTCTTCCTTCGGTGATTTCCTTTGCAGCTTCTTCATTACGACTTTCTTTTTCTCATTCGCATCCAGTGACTTTTCGGTCGTTCTGCCCTAGGCTGCTGTTACCATAGCCTGACACGCGAGGCATGCAAGGCTATGCCTTTAAAGGCAGTAGGCTAGGCAGAAGGACACGGGATGCGTACCAGTAAGCTTGTGGATGCGAAGGGGTCAGGAAGCTTTTTTGGGATTGTCTGAAAGCGATGGCTTTGTTTTTGCGTGTTCCCTTTTTCAAATAGTAAGTCGTTTTTGAGGAAGAGTGGGCAGTGCGAAAACGGCTACCTTCTATGAGCCATCATTGCATTTCATTTCCTTGATAAAGCGTTCGTTTTCGGTTGTTTGCAAAACTATTAACTACACATTAAAATTATAAGAGAAGAAAGAGGCATTCAGGGGGAGATTAGGAGGTCGATTAAAATTAGATTAATTTCGATTAATTTTTTTAATCGCGGTTAATCGATTAATCGGTCGATTAATCTAATAGAATTGACAGCCCTACTGTTAAACATATAACTTTAATTTGACATTTATTTAGAAGTGACTCTTGAAAGTAAACAGTACTTCAAAGTTATCAGGGACTCATAGGCTTTATAGTCTTCCGCATGCAAAATTTACCAGAAAGTTACCAAACCGTAACTTTCGTAGGCTTTGAGACCTTTACATTAATAGTTATGCTTTCGTGAAACGTTACTGGCACATAAGAGCCTGGTCACCCGGGCAAATTCAATGTTTAATCTCTTATTAATAAGGTAAGTATAATAATCTACCTTAACGTAGTCGATGGATTCACTATCACTGATTTGTGGGGTGCTGTATATGAAGGCCTCGATGAAGTGCGCATGAAGTCTGTGGTTAAAAAAATGTGCTGGTTCTATTGCCAGATGATTTTTTTTTTCAAGATTGAAAAGAGATGTTGCCTTGTTATACTGGCTTGGATGATTCAACGTTTTTTCGTTGATCAGAGAACAGAGTTGAGGAGTTATTATGAAGTGCTCATGATTGCCTGCATGACTGACTCTTGCCCCCAAGTAACACAAGAACGTTCTCGAGGACCTTCAACCTGTGTTTCAAGAGGTTTTCGGACGTCCAAAGTTCACAGATTGGCAGCGAAACGTGCCGTTTCATCACCAATACATAACGTTTTTGAAGGACATTCGATGAACGTTAAAGGGACGTTTTCTTTAAGTATATCTGTGCTATCCATTTGGCAGTGGCTTTAACAAAGGTTCGCACAACCGAAGCCAGATGACGCCAAAGTAGCTGCTATAGCGAATCAATACCTGATACATCTGGAATTAGTCCCCAATATTTTTTAAACGGTTCCCGATTCCTCCCACACCGGCACCACAAGGGAAAACTTTTTGAATTCTTTAACGAATCGGTCTAGAGTCCAAAGAGTCTCCTGAAAACTCTGGCTTGGGCGTTATTGGGAGGATGTTTCAACTTTCAAGGTGACTCTATGGGAAACCTATGCTAGGCGATAATGCTTCCAAAAATGAGAAGTCAATGCGAGTACATTTTTTCAAGTGGATTCAGATGTGACGGAAGTTTCCATTCACCGACTATAATACGTCACGTAAACCTGGATCAGGGAAAGAAATGATATTTGATTGAAATATCATTTCTTTCTTCCTGATATTTGATTGAAATATCAGGAAGAATTCCACTCCTGTGAAAGGATTTTATTTTGCATGAAGAGATGGGAATACTATCGTCCTACACGAGGGAAGGTGGTAAGCCCCTAAATCCAAAGGACGTTCATGGAACGTTGGCAATGCCTCAAATGAAATGTTCATTCCATATTCATGAAACGTTCGGGTGCTGCTTGAATTGCTATAACTTTTAGGTATAATTCAATACTTCTGAATGTGACAAAAAAGAAAAACTTTTCAAATACATATTTTGGATAACCTTCATTCTGTTACGTTTGTTGTAGCTTTGATTTAAAAGGTAGATTGTCAGTTTTCTAATCTTTAGTGCTGGTTACTCAAAGATTATTGATGGATGGTATGCATAAAACTGTCTTTAGTGTAAAACTGCTTTAGCGGTGCTAATGGAGGTTTAAAGCTTTATTACGCTAAAGGCAGTTTTATGCAATCCACCCCATATGTTTAAGAGTGTATGAGGGGGTAAACAACTTGGTGCCACTTCTTAATTTCCTTAACACTTTTGCTGCCGGACCAATTTTGCCGATTTGGATTTGCATTGGCGTGTCAGTGAAAAGACGGCGAAAGTGCGAATATTGAATACTTCATGTGTTCGGATTTGTTTCGATACGTTCCGTCGTTCTGCCATGTCGGAGTCTCGAATTTCGAAGAAATCTTATGGAATACGATTTTACTCAGCGGCAAGGGTGAACCGCTTGGAAAACCGCTCTTCATTATGACTCTCCTTCTTGTCCTGACTATCCTGTCGAGTCTGCCTCAGCCAATTTTAGAGATGATGGAATGACGCAATACATGGGTTCATACACTGTGTGGGTTTAACTTCGAACTGCTCTGATTTCATTATGAGTTTCCATAGAGAGGAGCCTCATTCTGCAGCAAAAAATTCATGTTAGTCCGATTTTGTACCGGTTTGATTTCCCGCGAAATCATCATAAGATCCTTTAGACTAAACTTATCTGGTCCTTGTCCCGTGANGAACCGCTTGGAAAACCGCTCTTCATTATGACTCTCCTTCTTGTCCTGACTATCCTGTCGAGTCTGCCTCAGCCAATTTTAGAGATGATGGAATGACGCAATACATGGGTTCATACACTGTGTGGGTTTAACTTCGAACTGCTCTGATTTCATTATGAGTTTCCATAGAGAGGAGCCTCATTCTGCAGCAAAAAATTCATGTTAGTCCGATTTTGTACCGGTTTGATTTCCCGCGAAATCATCATAAGATCCTTTAGACTAAACTTATCTGGTCCTTGTCCCGTGATTGCATACCGCTCAAAGATAAGGCTCTGCGCCATGGTTTTTTGATGCGTTGGCCCACAATACATCGGCATGAAATGTGGAATATTTTATTTTACGTTTTGCATTAATCTGGAGCACTTTCTTATTGTTAAATGCATTGTTTGGGCATCGAAATTCGAGCGGGAACAAGTTACACCGATCCACACTAAAGGAAATCACAGCTTGCTCTCACGACATACAGTATAAGGAAAAAGGACATAGGTCATAGCAGGTCGGTTCGTGCCGATTTTCTCGCCCGCTTCCATCGCAGATCTGCGAAGTCTCTTTGGAATTTTCTAGGAAGAGTTACCCAAGAGAAATAATTGCTGGCTTGAAAATCTGGATTAACGAGACGAGGGCGCCTTTGTTGCTCCCACACCTTATCCCGAACTACCGAATTCCAAGGTGGAAAATACTCACTTCACACTGCCGCAATCATGCGCCTTTTAATCCTATTCGTGTTCGTTTCTCATGCGATCGAAAATGAACATCGCGTCGAGTCCTCTTTTGATAGAGTTCGCTTTCGCTACGTTTTGTGTCACGTTTAACGCGGTGAGCTAGGGGATCTTTAACTACATGCAAATGTGAGTCGAGTGCTTTTCATCGCCCATATGCCCCGCATGGATTGGCGTGGGGAGCCACCAGTTTTCCTCGGATAAGGTCCTTCCAGAAAAAAACTCCCCACAACGTACAGATGAGCCGCTCGAGGAAGGGGAAGCTGTGTCTGTTGGGCGATCGAGAGGCGTGTCGGTGCATACCTGATGCCTCTAGGGTCCAGAGGCGAGGCTCTCCTTCGGGGATCTTCTCGCCGGCGGATGACAAAATGTCGGAAAACGCCTTGGACACCTCTTCCTGGGTCATGCTCAGCTGTAAGGGGGAAATATACGTTTTAATGGAGAACCTTTCTTTTTATTCTTAGGAATGTGGAAAGAAAATTGCAAGGAATGGCGGGGTGTCTACACATTTGCTCGAGAAGACGCGCGTTAAGTATTCTGTTTCTGACCCATCGTAGCTTTTTCAGGATACGCGTACAACTGTTTGCGAAGTTAAATAAATTCGAAACAAGGGCCAAAGCCTCCAGGAATTATGGAAAATAGGCTGCCAAAATGTCGGCGTTCCGGCAATAACGTTCTCGAGATATACTGCCCCAAAGTCAACCCTCAAGAGAAAAAGTGACCTTTGGGTCAAAGTGCTATCTCTAGTCCTAGTTGAGCTAGAAAAACATTTTTAGACTAATTAAAGCAGAGATAATGCAGGAACTGATTATTAAATGCATTTTCTGGTATATTCTTGATAAAAATGAGTTGAACATTTTCCAAAATGATAAACATTGCCAAAATGTGTACGCAAATTTTGAGCATTGGGAAACTTGGTAACACAAAGAGCTTTTGAAGCATTGCAAAACAAGGCAATGGCAATTTGAACAGCTAAATTTCAACTTCCTCATTTGTTTGAAGCAACGGAATATTACATTTGAAAAGGCCAAATTTTCCGATTTTCACCAAATTTGACGACTCGCATTTCCTATTTCGAACGAGATTCAAATTTGAAACTGATGTCAAATGAAAGCTCGCCCCAAGTACTTTCTATTGAAATATTTTTCATGTTTTGCTAATTTTAATTTCCGCATCTTGGTGATTTCTTTTTTTACTTTGAACTTGCCGAATTCCCTACTGAAAGATATTACTCAATTTACCAGCGATGGGAAACGTAGTGAAACAACCAGACCCGGGCATATCTCACCTGTGACCTATAAATGGCCCTAGTTCTACAGGGTGGCCCACGACTTTGACGGGGTATTGATGTCTGGAAATAGCTCATGGCATTTTATAAACAAGTTAGTAGCCTCCATAACGCTCATTCTTTGCTTCAACGCAAATGGCATCTCGTCCCTCCTAACACCCTTCCCCCTTCCACCTGCTCAAATGAACAAGCGTGTCTTGCCTTCACGTCTATGAAGTCGACTTCGAAGGAAAAACTGTTCATGGCAGGTTTAAGATAAGGAACGGCACCATGTGATTGGTCACCCGGCGGGTAGCAGTCGGGGCGGAGGGAGGACAGCTTCCTCGTTCTTATTTATAACTCTGGCACTTTTACAGGGGGCAATTTCACGTGGGCCACCCTGTATTATATACTTGCATTAAACATTGAAATATTGATCTTCAACATGTTTATGGATATATCGAAACTACAATTTAGTTGGCCTACTTTGCGCATGCATGTACGTACATTTCAGAAAAATCGAAATTCAGAATGGAGGCGTTCATTCCAGGTGTCACATGACTGTCATAAACCAGCTATATGTCAAATGCCAGCCCTCCTCAGTTGAAAGTGTTTAATTCTTTGACTGAAATTGAGCAGGAAGTTTTGAATCATAGCTTTTGAAAAGCTGGGACAGCGCTGAAAAATGTTTGCGTCCATCATGAACAAGTTCGGTAGGTGCGATGTGCCCTTTTCTAGGGAGGGAAGAACTGTTCAACTATCGCAAAGTCCCTTCAACTATCACAAAAAGAATGGGAAGGGAGGTCGAGTTATTTCTTCGTTCCATTCATTCTTTCAGACTGAAACTAATGCCATGACAAGAATGGGAGGGCAAGACTTAGATAATAATCACAGTAAATTTGTTGGACCACCCTAATGGGTACGGGTTATACTAGTACAGGCTTCGTCCTGTTGATGGAAACGTTTCCGCCACGATCAGATAAGGAATTAAAATATATGGTACGAAATGACGAATTAAATCAATATTGGCAGAATATTGGTCCAGTTCACGGTCAATGAAGCCTATGCTTTTCCGGGTAGCAATGCCAATATAGGTCCAGATTTGGTGCCAGTGAAACAACGTCCTCCATCAACATTGCAGCAACAGTTGAACAGTCCTGAAACGTTACTGCAACATATACGTAACGATCTGCAACGTTAATGCAATGTTCTTTTGCAACATTGGAGCAACGTTGACGTTTCGGACATTTACATATTGAAGCAACATAGTTAATCAATATTATTAAAACTTTGCTGGAAAATTTTGTGCTACTTGGGAAGGGGAGGTTGGGGGAAAGAAAAGGAATCTCTTTTGCCTGAGTGGGACTTCTTCAGGCACTAATGTGTGCAAAAACGGAAAATGCAGATAGATTCGCTCGCACTCTACTCAATTCGTTTAACTTTGAAAGATACCCAAGAAACACATTATGTTGATGAAACGTTTTCGAAATATTGCTTATGTTGCTCTGTTGCAAGTTCATGAACAAGTGATAAAACATTGCTTCAACGTTCTTCACTTTCGAGCAATTGGAATGTTGCTGCGACACTTCTACGAATGTTATTGCAACATTTGCTATCAATATTGAGAGAACGACATTGACATTGACAACGTAATGACAATATTCTGAAACAACATGGGGGTATTAGGGAATTGTTAAGTCGTCCTCCAGGCCACTAGATGGAGACGTAGGTCTCGCGTTTCGAACGGTACCAAAAGTGCCCTTCTCCCTTTCCCTGAAATCGTCCCTCACAGAAATGTTTATTATCTCGCCATATGTCTCGCCGAGTCTCATTATAGGAATCATGGAACACGGCACTTCATCATTTGTAATCCTCATCTCCGTGGCAGATTCATAGAGCCTGGGCCAAAACAAGCTCATATTCCCGACAGGAACCCTTTCCATAACCTGGCGATTGCATCTCTCAGGAAATCAAAAACAAAGGTAGAGAGACACTGTGAACTCAGTTTGCCTTTTTCTTCGTCCTGAGGACTGAATGCGGGAAAGTAGGGCTGAAAATACGGGCGCTCTAAAGAACATTGCGGGTGGACCTTCTCCCTGAGTTGTGCTATACAGTATTTAGCACATTCAGGGATAGATCCCCTCCCAAGTTGTACTATATCTCCTGCCTACGCAATGATACAGGTACTGTACTATGGATGGGCTGGGGTTACGTAACTGTACAGACTTCATCCTGTTGATGGCAACGTGTGGGTAAAGGTGATATGATACGAAATGATGATTGAAATATTTCTAGATTGGGCGAATATCGGTCCAGTTCAGGGCGAATGAAGCCTACCCAAGTAACGTATATTGATGAAACGTTTCCAAAATATTGCCTATGTTGCTCTATGTTGCAAGTTGATGTGCAACATTAATAAGACATTGCTTCAACGTTTTCACTTTGAATGTTGCTGCGACACTGCTACGAATGTTATTACAACATTTGCTATCAACATTGAGAGAATGTTGACACTCTTGACATCGACATCCTTTCCTTGAAACGTGCCATATTTATCACATCCAGGGGAAGATTACCTCTAGAAATCTGCTATGGCTCCTGCCTATACATGATACAGATAACTGTGTTATGCATGGACAGGGGTTATACCAATACAGGCTTCGTCCTGTTGATGGGAACATCTGGGTAACGAGATCAAGTATATGGTACGAAATGAAAAAATTAAATGTTGGCAGAATAACGGTCCAGTTAAGGGTCAGTGAAGTCTATGCTTTTTCGTGTAGTAATGTCTATATAGGTCCAGATTAGGTGCCGCGAGGCAACGTTTTCCATCAACATTGCAGCAACATAAGTCCTGAAACGTTTCTGCAACAAATATGAAATAAATAAGTAACTATTTGCAACATCAATGCAATGTTCTTTTGCAACATTCGAGCAACGTTGATGTTTTGGACTTTTACACATAGAAGCAACATTGTTCAGCAACATTTCCTAAGCTTTGCTGGAATATCTTGTATTACTTGGGTATATATTGTCTTTCTTAAATATCCTTTCATCTTTCTCAAGAAAGGTGCTTCATCTTGACTTTTATCCAAGTCCTTTTATCCATGAACACAGACCACGAGCTTACTCGCATGTGACTTTCTTGTTTTAAAAGTTCCAAGCGCGGTGATTTCAGATTCACTTAAGAAATTGATTCCGATGCCATGTAGCAAGACCATGATGAGCTCGAAGTCTTAAGAAAAGAAAATATGCAGCTCGTACCTTCGAGAGATCAGGGAGGGATGAGAGGCCGAGATTCTTCATGAGCCCGTCTTCGAGGGCTTCCGAGTCCAGCTCGTCGCCGTTGAACACGGTGATTCCAACTGGTGCGGATCTCTCGTCCCCGTTCTGGTTCTTCGCTTGCAGGATGAGACTTGACGCCAAAATGAATAATGCTAGGACCGCTATCATGACTCTGCAGCTTCTGGAGAACCAAGTAGCACAACCGATCATGAGGAACTGAAAAGACCTGAATTGGCCCATCGGTTTATAAAGTGCGAGATGCACCGACCACGTGCGACAGAGACTGGCGCACACGCGCTGTTCGAACGGTACGGATTATTCCCCGATGGAAGTAGGAGCGGGCCGGACCGCAAAGTCTGGCGGTCGCTTGGATCGAAGACCGAAACAGGAATTGCGGGTGTGCGGCCTCGGAGCTGAAAGTCTCGGCCCATCGCGTCTCTAACTCTAATGACTGGGATCGGAAAATCTCGCGCGCACTTACAATCGATTCTAGGCCGTGATGGTGCAACGAACTCCAGCAGACAAGGAAAGTCTCAAGAGGGTGAGGCGGCGGTGGGGGGAGGAGCTAGGACTTCAATGGCCAATCTAGGATGGCTCTGGCCAATTGGCCAATTGGAAGCCAGAGCAGTGATGACGTGTCAAACCCTATTCGGCACAACAACGCAGTGTCAACATCGACAAAGGGTCGAAATGTTGAGACATGGTTGAAGAATACAGCGAAGAATGGACGTCAAGGAAATGCCGGCTATTCGTAATTAACTGAATTTTCAGCGTGTAAAGACTACTCATGGATTGGCGAAGCCTTTTGGAAGCTTTTAAGCGAAAATTCATCTTTCACATTTTCTTTCATCTTAGTCTCAATGTTGTTTCAACATGGAGTTATCCACATCCCAACAGAAAATAGGTTCTACCAATCGACGCGAGATGGTGCCTAACCCCCGATTTAACGAAATTCACCCTGGTACTCTGAAAAATACAGTCCCCTGTATCTCTCATACACAACCCGATCTTTTCCCACGTGCAACTTCAGTGATGGCTTTGGAATTCCAAAATAGACCCGTTGAAGGAGGCAATTTGGCAGGAGACTCCAGGCACTTCTTTCTGGCCAGGAGGTTCGGGGAAACGTGCCGAATTTTATCACCTCATTACACGGCGTTGAGACTGATTTGAGCTCTTGCATCTCTTTCGAGACTGACAGAGCGTGTTAACCAGCTTGTGAGAGTGTGTCTGACTCTAGTCTTGCATGGGAGATAAATCTGGGGATGATGTAACTCGTAACTCCCTCACTGGACAGAATACGGTATTCAAGTACAGTCATTCCCCGACTTACGTCGTTTGCCCCCAGACCCAATACAGTCATCCCCCGAAGTTACGTCGCAATTGGTTCCGAGACCGGCGACGTTAGTCGAGACGACGTAAGTCGGGGGATGACTGTAATGGGGGTACGTAATACATTCATCCCCTGACTTACGTCGTCCCGACTAACGTCGCCGGTCTCGGAACCAATTGCGACGTAAGTCGGGGGATGACTGTAATTAACTCTGATTCAGATCGGGTAAAGGACGTTACAACCTCAGTAAGACCTCAGTAACCTCGGGATGATAGCACTCACTAGAGTTTTACTTTCAAGCACTAAACAATATTGGCGAGGGATTCTTATTCAAACGCTACTTTCCACTGTTTTTAATATATCATTTTTAAATGTTCATATTCACGAACATCCCCCACCAAATATCTAAAAAAATTTTTTTCTCCCTCACAATCTCCAGTTTCCCATTCAAAATTTCCGATTCGCGTTTAAGTCCTCAGTCGAGCGAAATCTCTTACAGCTTCCTACGGAATGCGTGGGTTATTTCCATCATATTTTCCTTTCTATTTATATAGTTGCCACAGAGATTAATCCCATTTGGCACGATAACAGCATCAACGTCGATCGAGGGTTGATATTTCCGCGTAACAATGTTGTCACGTTGCCTAAAAAGTTGATTCAGTGATGAATGTTAAATGAGCAGTGTCGAAATGAAACAGTTCAACATTGAAAATGCGCTCATCTGTCACGTTGTGTCAGCATTGAATTGTCAACTTCTCGGCATTGCCTAGTCATTTTCTTGATATTGAAGATGCGCTGATAAAATGATCTCGGGTAATTGGAATCTCCAGTCGTACTTCTCTGAAAATGAAAGTACTCTCACAAGTACTGTCAGCTGCAGTTGATCCCACGCGAGGCCATAACTTCCTTTGCTGGCTTTGATTCCCATATTTGTTCTTGAATCACGCACCAGATTCAGTCCACCAAAAGAACTGCATGCCTGAGATCATCGTGGTTTTTTTTTTCCTCCACAGAGGAGTCGGACGAACCCTCGATGTTTTAATTCATATTCCACGGAAGTTGAAGGATGTTTCCTCCGACCGTCGGGCCGGAAATGGCTCAGTTCATTCCGTTCAGAAATGATTGAAGCCGGGCGGAAACTCAATCCACCTCGTGCGCGATAAAGGTACATTTTATGACTCCACTTTGAACGACTGTCGATTTTTATTCAGACAACCTAGGTACATTAAACTTTCAAAAAACTAAATTTTGTGGTGTTTCCAATGTGATACTAAAAAATCACCAACCTAGATCATCCACAGCGGGTTTTATAAAGCAGGACGCTTTTTTTGCGCCACCCGATATATATTAAAAGATATATTTAAAAAAAAAGGGGGTTGCCATGTCTGTGAACGCTCGACCTTGACATGGGAAGTCGTAATGGACGAAAATGCGTCCTGACATCCTTACCAGGACCTTTGACCTTGAATAGCCTTCCGAATCGCTGGCGACGTAGAGCTCCGAACCATCGAGGACTTTCATCGACAAAGCTCATAATTCCACTTTGATGCATGGAGATGACGGAGGAGGATCTCAGCTTTCACTAAGCTCATCCTTATGCTGTCATGCTTCCTGCTGTTCCATTCATTATACTGTAACTGTTCAGGCGGTTTCGCAACGAGTGAGTGGCTTGATTAGGTTAATTACTTGGAGGAGTAGATCTCTGGAAGCCGCTGAATGGAAGCCTCGGTGCGCGTCGACTCCCATAGGTGTCGCTCTCGATCCTTGACCCTTCACTTTTGACTTTAATGAACCTTTATCATTAACACTCCTGGTGACCTGTCTCATCTTGTATCCCTTTCCATCTCACACTGCCATCGTATACTAGAGTAAAATGCATGAGTTCATTTTATTTATTCAAGAATGTTACGTCAATATGATGTCGAACGAGTCATCTGGCAGTCATTCGAACAAACAAGGTTCTCGGAAGAAAAGCGAGATGGCGATTAAGTCGCCCGTGCAGCGAGTTGCCTCACACATGCAGCTTGGATAAGTCCCTAGTACTTTTCGAGCGTTACTTGATCGTTTCCCCTTTCGAGTACACTAACGTTGGAAAGCTTCTAGCTTGACTAAGAAAAAATGGCTAACGATGGAGAACCCATGCAGGTTTATAAGATCATCGAGGGAAACGGGCGTTGAGCGTGGTAGATTCTTCCAACCAGAGAGAAACAGCAGGAGAGAGGAAACCAGTTCAAGTTAGCGCAAACCCCAAGCGAGACTCGAGTTGCGAAATCACCTCTTCATTTGTGGAGTAGTTAATGTGTAGAATGAGTTAAGTGAAGATGGAATGACTGCCCTGCTGTGACATGATGATGTTACATTGACAGGACTTCGAGTACTCGACTGATGCGCGACACGATTCGAAGTCCTCGCGATATTGAGGACATCGCGATGTCCTTACTTTCAACATCGAGTCGACGGCGATTCGACCATGAACAATAACTTCTCTTTTACGTCATCAATAAATTATCAATACGAGTCGATGTTGTGCAGACTGGGTATGTAACCTTGTGATGTGATACGTTGTGCTAGCCCAGGGCTTAGGCCATGACCCAACTTCAGAATGGTTCCTATGTTAATCGACTGATATAGGAGTACCAGTGTTCACCTCGGCTATTTCCAAGCCGCCGATGTTGGTCGCCATGAAATAAAATGGTAGCACAATTGATATGGTTTTAGAAAATATGGTCACGACCGGTTTTTCCGTGATGCTATGAAAACTACCATGGCAAGCAAGGCAATGGTGCCACAAAGGCTGGGAGACACGGATATCTAGCTCTATTTTCGGTTCTTGGTTTGACGCATAAGCCGAGGCCTATTCATTGTTGTGGGAATGAGCAAAAAGGGAATAGCAAAGCTCACCAGCTGAGATATTCTTTTCCTTAGGCCTAGGCAAAGCCTTCCGGACAGTCCTTTGGGGATTCATCCACCTTCCCTATGGACCGTCCCCGTGTTCACCATGTACACGGCGCCTTTCATCATCTCAGGGGTGTCAAACTCAAATTGGTCGGCCTGCCGCATTCCTTACCCTGCAGATGCCTGCGGGCCGCACCCATAATATTTCACTGAAATTTGTGCTGACACTCATCCTCAATCCTATGCATGCTTTCATGAGAAAATATATCACTAGAAATATATATCCCATATGCATGAGGTACAGTACACAATTTATTTAGTATGGCCCTACCCACATGGTGACATCCCAGAGATGTCCCCAACTGGAAGACTTGCCCTAAGGTCTTTATGGGATGTTTTAAGGTCATCTTTAGTTAGATGGTTTCCAACATCTCAGAAGAGATATCTTTGGGACTTCTCAGAGATGTCTTTTAGACATCATTTGGCAAAGAATAGGGAAAAGGAATAGGGAGAAGGAATCTTCAGGCAAAGAATACCATCTGGGACAACCCTTTAAAAAATAATGGGTTGTCCCATATGACAGGAAATGAGTATGTTTCAGAAAGAAGGGCACCCAGATATTTTGAAATCACTGAGAAGTCCCTTGTAGTTACCTTTGGGACTTCTCCCATGTCCCAGTGGAATATCTCTGGGATATCTTTGGGATGTATTTGTGCTTTTTGGAAGTGAATGGTTTTTATATTTTCACAGAAGTGACTGATGAAGTGCCAATTCTCATCTTAGTTCCTGAAGTTTTTTTTTTACATTCGGGAGAGAATTATGAGAATAAAATGATTTCATGTATGTTACATACCTGATTTGCTCAGGTCTCTTATCAGGTGTGACATATATGTCCTACAATGTACTAGATAGAAATACTAAGTCATGCAAGTATCTTATCTGC